TCTATATCAGTCAAAAGAGTTTATGTTTCCTCACTTAAAAAACTACTCACCCTCACATACCACATTTATATGTGATTCCATAGATAATGATATTTATATACAATAGTCTCCAAAAGGGAATATATACAATTCATACGCATGCTATTTCTGTTATCCAGATTCTAGCACTCAAATTCCTCAAAATGTAGTCATCAATCTTCTGTATATATCATGGAAAAATCTTTTCAACAAATATTTTGAAAACATGGCAAGTCAATAGTATAGTAAGTTACCAGTTAACTGCCCAGAGACTGGGAGAAAGGGTAAGAAATAAAATATTAAGATAAGAGAATTCAACACAAATAATAACACAAGACAAAACCGAAATGGATATTAGACAGAACTGAAAAAGAAGTTAATATTATTGTTCAGGATAAACTTGTTTAAAAAAAAAATTAGGAGCGATTTCATAAAAGTAGTAAACACAACCAACCAACCACTGCCCTGGAGTTGAATCTGACTCATAAAGACCCCTCTTTGGGGTTCCCAGGCAGTATCACTACGGAAGTAGATTGCCCAACCTTCCCTCCAGGGAGTGGCTGGTGGGTTTGAACCACCAGCCTTCTGGTTAGCAGTCAAATGTCTTAGGCACTATGCCACTAGAGCTCTCCATAAAAGTAATAAGAGAATAAATTTTTAGAGAAATTTGAAATTAAAATTGAAATTTAGTTTATTTATTATAAAATGATCCTGGTGTTCTAACTCTTTATATTAACTCTGGTTGAGCAAAAGAAAGAATATCCCAGTATTTACAAATTTTTGTGCAATACCTAATTTCACCAGAGGATGGTAGAATAGGGTCAAAATATTTGAAAAGGTGCTTCTTTATATTTTTCTCTCAGTTCACAACAAAGCTAAGTGATAACTGTCTCATTTGTAGAATTTCCAAAATTTTTTTATTGGAAAATAAAATTTAGAAGGATGATATAATTGACTGGTGAGTAGGCTGCTTGATTGCTTTGTCAGTCTGTTTTATTTGGGGTAGGGTTGTCTCCCACCCAGGAAGATAAAATATGACATATGAGTTCTTTGTCACATTAAATCAATCTAATAAGAAATTAAGCCCATGAAAGAACTATGAATGTCTCAGAGAAACAGTTAAAAATAAACTGCATTCATTTGTAAGAATGTTACACCTCCATGGTTCAATTTTCAGTCAAACAATAGACAGGTCTATAAACTGATCAGTAACACCAGAGAGGTAGCACTCCTTAGAACAAACAATCAACAATTCGGGATCAAAAGGGCAGTATTTGCCAGAGACAAAGATCAGAAAGCAGGAGAGGATAGGAAAGAAAAATGAATGGAAATGGTAAACACACGGAGGAAGTTGGATTAAGTGCTGATATATGGTGGAGATTATAATCAATGTCATGCAACAAAATGTATGAATTATTGAATGAAAACCGATTTGCTCAGTAAATTTTCACCCAAATCACAGTAAAAAGTTAAAAGAAATTAAAAAAGAAAGTCTTCCCAACAGAGAATTTTAAAAAAATAATTAAATAGTAATAATAAAAACAAGGAAGAAGAATTGCCATCCCAGTAGGCCTGGAGGTGGATGGAGCTGAAGCCCAGGGCTGAGGGGTGTCCTGCCAGAATCCAGAGAGCATGGCCAACACGCAGAGTCTGGAGGGTGAAGCCTTTGTGGAAATGGCCTCAATGAGGATTATTTTCAAGCCTTGAGAGCTAATGCAAACTATTCTGCTGGGTTTTGGAGTTGTTTGATGCCTGCTATCTCTTCTTTCCTTCCAATTTCTCCCATTTGTAATGGAAATGTCTCCCTTGTGTTTGCTCCACAATTTTCTTTGGAAACAGATAAATTGGAGTCTAGATTTCATACACAGATGAAGAGGAATTTTGCCCCAAGATGGAATACGCCTAAATACCCATATTTTATTTAGATGAGTCAGAAGATGAGATTTTGGACTTAAAGTGGATTTAAGACTTCCAGTATGATGTGATGGGTTGAATGTATTTTGCACATAGCAAGGACGATGAATGGGGCGTGGGGGGGAGCAAAGGGTGGAATGTTGTGGATTGAACTTTTTTCCCAAAAATTATGTGTTGTGAATTCTAACCTCTATCTATATCTGTCATGATTTCATTTGGGAATGGGTCATCTTTATGTTAAAGAGACACGATTAGTATAGGATGTGTCTTAAATCAATCTCCTTTGAGATATAAAAGAGATTAAACATGAAAGTGAAAGAAGATGAGGAAGAGAGATGTCACACTGTATCACCCAGGAGAAGAAGCTCAGAACACACAAGGACATTTTTCCAGAGCTCAATTCCTCTTAGGCTAGTTATCCAAGCTGCTTCTGTTTGGTTTTTTTTTTCAGTTTTTTTCTTCTTCCACTTTCATTTTGCACTGGATTTTCTTCTTGCTATAGATGTAAGGCAAATACATGATTTTAAAAAAGTAAGATAGCAATGAGTACGAAATGAAAATAAACCCTTCTCTCCTACCGCAGATTTCTTATTCTCTCTCCCAGAGATAATTATTATCTTTATCAAATTCTTACATATCTTTCCAGAAAGCTTCTGAAAATATTTTTCTCACATATAAGAGGTTGTACTATAACACTCCTATCCATCTTACTTTTTCATTTAACACAGTAACGTATTATATATCGTAACACACAGGCCTACTTTGTTTTAATGGTTGCATGATAACCTTTTGCATAGATGTTTAAGATGCTCCCCTACTGGTGGGCATTTACTTATGATTCCTGCGTGTATAGATAACAATGTTCTATACATTTTGCATATACATATTTGCATGCTTCAACTATATGTGTAGGACAAATTTCTAGAAATGCAAGTATTAAGTCAAAAAGTCTACATACTTTTGATTTGAATAGATATTGCTGTTAAACTGCTCTCCCCCTCCCCAACTCCTCTCAGCAGCGTATGACATTATCTATTTTCCTACAACCTTCTCCCACATGCATTATGCCAGTTTAAAATGTTATCAAGCTGATACATAAAGAATACTACCACTTTGTTGTTTAAGTCTTTATTTGTAAATGATGAATAAAATTGAGCATTTCCTTATGTATTTATTAGCCATTTTATTTTTCCTTATGAACCTGTCGAACTCTTCACTCATTTTCCTTTTCAATGAATATTTACATGTTCTTTCTAGATCTAAGAAATTAACCCATTATATTCATATGTGATGTAGCATTATCATTAAAGAGAAAATAATTTAAAAATTTAAGACTTATTTTAAAGCTATTGTAAATGCCACTGTAAAAAAAAAAGTAAATAAACTCACTGCTGTCAAGTTGATTCAATTCATAGCGACTCCTGCTTGGGTTTCTGAGGTTGTATCTCTACGGAAGTAGATTGCCCAATCTTCCTTCTAAGGAGTGGCTGGTGGGTTTGAACTCCCAGCCTTCTGGTTAGCAGTCAAATGCCTTAGGCACTACTCCACCTGAATGGTGGTTTTAGTCATAGTCTTTGTTGTTGTTGTTGTTGTTGTTTGCCGTCAAGTCGGCCCTGACTCATAGCGACCCCTCCTTGGGTTTCCCAGTCAGTATCACTACAAAAATAGGATTGCCCAACCTTCCTTCCAAGGAGTGGCTGGTGGGTTTGAACCGCCAGCCTTCTGGTTAGCAGTCAAGTGCCTTAGGCACTATGCTACCAGAGCTCCTACCTCTTCTTGGTGGTTGTGAGTTCCCCCTTTCTGCCTCTGGGGTGGCTCATTTTAAGCCTAGCAGGATGGCAAAACTGACCAATCTCCTTGTTAGGGTTCCAAACACTTCACCAGAGGGTGAAGGCATATCTGACCTTGGCACATAGGATTTAGCCTTGGGCTGTTGTTGGTAATAATGAGCTTCCTTCCCATTTTGTCAAGTTAGAATTGTCACCACTAGGACATTTTTAGTCACTCTAACATTTCATTATTTCATTTAATAAAGTAATATCTACTAGCACTCTGTTACTGTATTTATTCATTCATGCAGAGAGACCCACAGATATGGAATTAGACTATGTATGCTTTGCCTGGGGACCTGGGTCTTGGAATTTACCTTTTAGTAAGCTATTTACAATTATTCCATGGAGGACACTTAGAGCAATTAAGATATTTGATTTAATGATTATTAAAAAAAAAAAAAAAAAAAAAACTAAACCCATTCCATCTAGTCAATTTTGACTCAGCAACCATGTAAGACAAGAGTAGAACTGTCTAAGGTTTCTAATCCTTACGGAAGAACACTGCCACATCTTTCTCCCATGTAGAAGAAACCAGTGCTTACAAAAAGAATTGACGGTAGAAGAGAAAAGTAAGATGATCACACACTTTTTTATAAACCCTGGTGGGTGATGAATGCTAACACTAAATATAAATTCTTCCAAATCCTAATTTTCCAATGAATAATATCTAATTAGACTGTAAGTGTGTGATGATAGAAACAGCACTTTAAGCTTTTTAATATACCCCACAGTTAACAATATTCCATAAATATTTTCAGACTAAATATGAGATTAACAGACACTTTTAATTATCTTGGGTGTTACCAAGCACCAATCATTCTATTTTAAATATAAATCCATAATTTCAGGGTAAGGAAGTACATTGATTCCCCATATCTAACTATTCCTGCTATGTCTCTGATCCATCATTCCTTCACATACATATTCCTTTTTCCTATAATCTCATAATTTACTTAATCACTCAATTTATAAGACATTTTCTTCATATAATTACATAATTTTCTGTTATATTAATGCATGTAGTATTTATTACAGTAGCATATTTTGGGAAAACAAACATAAATACAGAAAAGCTTATATAGCAAAAAAAGAAAAAATTAATATTATCCAAAAGTAACCACATGTTCCCATATCCTTGGAGCTTTAAGGTGCCTTAATCGTGATGAAATTGTTCTAAGTAAAACTCTCAGTGGATCTGGCTTAAAACTGGATAAAGTGGTTTTGAAGTTTATCTGCTCACAGAAATTCAGAAAGTGGTGATTCTTCTACTCCTAAGTTTCTCTTGCTCCACATGCGCCTTGATTTGTGAGAATAACATGACTTAGAAGACTGTGCAGATCCAGGACTCTGAGAGTGGGGAGAGACCTTCCGCCTGAGGTTCCGTGAAATAGCTCTCTGAAGATTCTTCATGGAAGACCCTGCCGCCATGTTGACCACCCAAGGATGATCCAAGGCTTGGCCAGCTGACATGCGATGACTAGCGTCCAAAATAAGTAGCTTGTCTATAAAGTCCTTCGCCAAGTGTGAAACACTTGGCCAAGGCTGAGAAGAAATACATTGAAAATTTCAAAAGATACATATACAGAGAGAGAGAGAGAAAGAGAGAGAATCATATTCTTAATTATATAGATCAATACATAACAATTCCAAAACAACTTTTTCAAATAAACAATTTGAATTTTATGCTATTAAATATATGTAGTTAACAACTTGAAGAATGTAATCAATGTTACACTGAATTGTACATGTAAAAATGGTTGAATTGATATTTGTTTGCTGTGTATATTCTCAATAACAACAAAATTAAATAAAGTATACATATATTTAATACATTTAACTAACAACTGCAACTACATGCATATATGCATATATATATATATATATATGTTTGCACCATCAAGGGACTCCTGAGTTAGACTATCCTGCCTTTTAAACTAAAGAGATGTTTATTCTGCCACTGAAGTATATTTGAACAGGTAAGTGACAGGATTTGATTTGCATTTTTAGTGACCCTAAAATTCTACTTTTACACATTAAAAATATCTCTTCAACAACAACAACAAAAAAAGAAAATTCTCTTTGAATTTCTCTGTCCAACAAGTGAGTTCCTTTCCAGAAGTCTGTCAAGCACACGGTGTCATTACCAACATGAATTCCTACATCACATTTACATGAGCTGCTGGACAAGACAAAGCAGCTGTCATTGGTCAACTATACAAATCTCTGGTTGTGTTCACCACATTCTGAACATTTCATAGAGTCTCTGTGACTCCAAGAGGGAGCTAGAGTAGAAAGTAGAATGGATTGTGAATTCATCAGCTTTCCTCTCCCAGTAAAAGCTTCTCTGGATGCAGACACCTGCATCTCCTGGGGAGAGAATAAGAAGGAAGAAGACTTCAGGGAGAGATTCTCCTGCAGTGCACGTCCTCTAAACACAAAGGGTTCTCCTTCAATCAGCTGACAAGAGGGATTCACATGTAGCAGAGATATGATACAATGCAATGTGCCAACTAGCTCCTTGATGGTTCAGGGATTTATTCTGGCCATATTTACAGTGTTTGTACATACTTTTAAGTACAATAGCAGCAATTCATAGATGGCTTTGTATGGATGGGACAAGAAGGCTGTTGTTTTATATTTAAACTTGTTTTCTGCATTACCTACAAACACATAGCATGTACTGGGAAAAAAACTATAGTTTTACAAATTCTGTAATTACAGTTTCAAAACATTGAGAAAATTGCCCATTTGCTGTATCTTGAACACAATTTTAGTTGATTCTTTAAAAAAAAAAAAAAAGTATCTCCCAGGAAATTAAACCAAACCAAATTCACTGCTACCGAGTTGATTCCCACCCATAGCAATCCCCATTGCGTTTCCAAGGCTGTAAATCTTTCCGGAAACAGACTGAGTCATCTTTTTTCTGCAAAGCAGCTGGTGGGCTCGAACCAATGATTTCTGGTTAGCAGCCAAATGCCTTAACCACTAAACAACCAAAGCTTAGGAAAAGATAAAGGACTCCTTATAATCTATTGCTTTTGCCTTGGTGTAAGGAAAAATCAGACTCCTTATGTAGACATTACATTCTTCAATTTTTTAGTACTCTGCTTTTACCTAAGATTTGTATCAAAAGAAACTAGTAAAGGAGCTGCTTTTCTTTTTTTATTCTCTTTCAGTTTATTCAGGTAAAATGAAATATAGAAAATATTTACCCCGCCCTTTAAACTGTGCTGTCAAACAATACCTGGAGGTCACCTTTCGACTAAATAAAAAATTGGTACATAAACATCATCCTTGAGTGTGAGTGCTGTGTTCCTTTAAAAACTCATCTGTATGAGACCAAATGGTCAACACTTACCCTAAAGCAAAGATGAGAAGGTAAGGGGGGAGGGCGAGAGAAGCAGGATTAATAGAAATGGAACAGAAATAATGAGAATGTTGACACATTGTGAAAAATGTAATCAAGGTCACTGAACAACATGTATAGAAATTGTTAAAAGGGAACCTAATTTGCTGTGTAAACTTTCACCAAACACAATATAATATTTAAAAAAAGACAGGGAAAAAAAGGATCTTAATAAAAGTCAGGAAAAAAATGAACATATTTGCTAATATTCAAACATGGGAAAAGTAAGATGTAACTCCTACAAGTCTAGACACAGCACGTCCATGGCTAACACAATGACATTCTCTGATTCTGGCTAGACATCTACTTGGCCCTGGATCCAGACACATTTATCTAGGCTTGAGACAATTTAAATGAAGGTTAAATTAGATGTCTCCAATGGGACATTATGAGACAAGCAACTGATCTTTTTGGAAAGAATATTAAATATGTGCAGCGAGGTATATGGAGAGCTCATTAAGGTGACTACAAATGAATATACCTTTAAAAACCAGTTGCAGAAAATAAGGTAACTAGTGTCATGGAAAAAAAAAATCTTAAGCCAAAGCTCATTATTCAAACACGGGTTATAAATTACAGAAAAGAGCCTGGGTAGTGCAGTGGTTCAAATTCCTGAGCCATCAACAACACTGGAGAGTATCTTGGTGTCAATTTCACCTTGCTTATTAGAAGATGCTATCTTCACATTCATCACCAGAGAGGGGGCAGTGGCTCCCACAGTATCTATAACTGTTAATTACAGTACAGGAAGACAATGTCAGAACATCTATTTTATTTTAATGTCTCTATCTTAAAAATGAGTTTTTGTTTACATTTTATAATATATATTATAGGTTATATGATATGGGCTAATACATATTATAGGAGCTCTGGTAGCATAGTGCCTAAGGCACTGGACTGCTAACCAGAAGGCTGGCGGTTCAAAGCCACCAGCCACTCCTCGGAAGGAAGGTTGGGCAATCTATTTCCGTAGTGATACTGCCTCAGCAACCCAAGGAGGGGTTGCTATGAGTCGGGTCTGACTAGATGGCACATAACAACAACAATATATATTATGGGCTATATTATATGAGCTATATAGCTGAATATATTTTATAAATGCATAAATACTGAATGTGCCTATACAAATTTTTGACTAATAGTGATGATGTGACCCCCCTCCCTCCAAAAAAAAAAATTTGGAGGGCATGCTTTGAGTCAAATTTCCTCTCTGGACTCACTGTCAAATTTGATGACATCATTCAGTCCTGTCAGCAACTTTCACGCCCACTTTGTCTCAAACGAAGTTTTCCTTATAATTTCTTCTCCCAGGCTCAGTCAGTCATCTCATTGCCTTGTTGTTGTTGTTGTTTGCCATCGAGTCGGCCCCGACTCCTAGCGACCCCTCCTTGGGTTTCCAAGGCAGTTATCACTACGGAAGTAGGATTGCCCAACCTTCCTTCCGAGGAGTGTCTGGTGGGTTTGAACCGCCAGCCTCCTGGTTAGCAGTCAAGTGCCTTGGCACTATGCTACCATAGCTGCATAAAATTACACTTTGTTTGACTTTTCTCACAGTCTCAGTGAGACACTATTCACAGCAATCTGTTACTCTGGAAAAACCGCGAGGCTGAGGTCAATGACTCTGGACTCCCTGGGTGGTAGAAATGGTTAACATGCTTGGCTACTAATCAAAATGTTATGGACTCGAGGTCACTCAGAGACACCTTGGAAGAAAGGCCTGGCAATCTGCTTCCAAAAAAAAATCAGCCACTGAAAACCCTACAGAGCACAGTTCTACTCTCATGCACTTGGTAAGTCGACTCAGTAGTTATCTGGTTGGTTTTGGGATCTAGCCTCAAGAGCCTGTCTGGCCAAACACCACCTCAGTTTCCTTGTCAGCAAAATGGGAATTATCACATCTCCTTCATCAGATTGTTAAAATAAAATTAAATCAAGTATGTGGAAATGGTTTCAAGATTAAGTAGACTGCTGTTGTTTTTGCTGTTATTAATTCCTTTCACTTAATTCCTTCCTCAGCTCTTTGGGGACATTTCCACCCACTATATTTAGGGAATTCAAAGAGGAAAATTATCCAGAACTTCTTATATCAATATATAGCACACGATAAATATGTACCCCCCATAAAAACATTTGTATTAAGAAGTAATAAATCATGTAAATAGTAAGGTAATGCTTACTTTTATCCCAAGATCATTCAATTAATTTAGTTACAAGTAAATAAAGTATCTGTAAATAATTTGGGCCTTTTTCTCTTTCTCTTTCTTTAGTCTTTTTTTCCTTTCTGCATATGGTTCTTCACCGATTTGTGTGTGTGTGTGCACACACGTTCTTCAGTAACACTGGATAAAACTATACAAAACAACAATAGCAACAACAACAATACAGCTGGGAAACTAAAATTTAGTACTAGCAATTACACTGCTTACTAGCTTTAGAGGAGTAAAAGAAATTTGGAGGGGCAGTACCTTATATTTCATAGTTGTCTCAATTCCCCCTCTCACTTTTAAACAGAGAACTAAGAAATGATTGTACTTTGTTGCTTTCCAATTTCTTTTTTTTTTATTATTTTTTTTATTGTGATTTGGGTGAAAGTTTACCAAGCAAATTCATTTTCCATACAGTACTACATACACATTTTGTTTCATGACATTGACTGCAATTCCCTGCAATGTAACAGCTCTCTTCCCACTTCCTGCTTGTAGTTACCTTTCCCTTGTGTCCTTCTTTCATATGCATTCCTGCCCAATGAACTATCTTCTTGTGCAAATACAACCCTTCTGTTCTCCCATGATTGATCATTCTAAGGAGTGTACTTACCTGGTGTAAATGTTTACCCCATATGCCTGTCTATTGTTTGGCTGGAAGCCACAGGAGTGAGTTCAATTCCAGGCCTGAAGGGTAACCTTAGTCTTGGGGGTCTCAACAGGCTCTATCAGACAAGTAAACCTGGTCTTTTTTTTATGATTTTGAGTTCTGTTTCACATTGTTTTCCCACTCGTTCCAGGTTCTCTTGCACTGATCCCCCTCTGAGTGGACAACAGTGGTAGCTGGGCATCATCGAGTTTTTCTGATCTCATGGTCATGTAGGCTGAAGTCCACTAGTTCTTTAGACTAATTGTTTCCATGGATCTTTATT